CTATCAAAATTTGAACAAAAATCAGCTAAAAGTGTTAGATCGAGCGAATTTACTTGGATAGTGGGTGCGTCATAGATCTGATTATTGTTACACCTCAAAGTGCCTTTACGCTTAATTGGTCCTAAATAATCGGAACGGTAACGAAGTTTCGGTCCATAACCAGGTTGGCCCACTACGGCGAGACATAATGCTGGCATAACAGCCGTTTGTTGAATAGCTTTTTAAAAAAAGTGACATCAACAAAGGACTCATGAGAGCCATTCAAACATACCATTGACTGCATCATGTTCATTTGAATTAAGAACATACTGAGGAGAAAGCCCAAGCTCCATTTCGTTGCCTAAATCATATGACTGTCATTTTTTTTTACAAAAATCTTTCAGTAAACTTCTAACTCATTAAAGATAAAGGCGGCTATAAAGCTTTGAGCACAGAACGGAAGATGTGTAGATTTGTAGAGTTAGACTTTTGCTACCTAACGGTATAAATATTATCAAGTTCCATTGCGTATCGTTGAGATATTAATAGAGGGTACCACCTTCGCCGCGGCCACAGTAATATGTATGGAAAGCGGTGTCCTCTATTGATATCTCGACAGTACACAATGGAGCTTGATAGTACTTACACTATTAGATAGAGGAAATCTTCTTCTACAAATCTACGCATATCCTGTTCTGAAGTCAAAAATTACTACGAAACTTATTGTTGTCTTTCACAGGGAAAGAACATTCACTTGAGTGGCTACCAGAACCAACAAAAAACAAAATAATTCCTTTTGAGAATAAATATGAATGCATACTTGGATGGAAGTACAATTGATTAATTTCTTCTATAAAGAAAATATAACAAGTTCGTTTGCATAGACTGAATTTGAACTTACCAAATTGTTCTTCTAAGGATAATTCTATAGCTTGGCTCGAGTTAACTAACAACAAACACATATATCAAAGATTCTACGCATTCGATAGAAAATTCATGTGCTTACGATCCAATTGCGCATGAATCAAAAGTTCTGGCATAATATAATCCAAACTGTTCGAATTCTTCATAGATTTAATCTAGAAAAAAAATGATTGAATTCTGCTTCTAGCAGGTGTACGAAAATAGGAAAAAGTTATGAAGTCATAGCTGGTTTTTTTTATTACCAATAACAAGAATCGCAACCTTGAGATAACAATTCTTGGCTCAATGACAATGCACAAATAGAACGAGAGCAAAATGTCTATCGGGTTAAATTCAGCTAGTTGAATCATATTTACGAATAAAACTTCGGTTCTTGTTAGTGTTTAATTCAATGAAGTATACAAAACAATGAAAGTAAAGTTGGAGAGACAAGAAAAATGCACATTCGAGATCAGCAACAGTAAATGCATGGGAGTACTTAAATGATACGATTTTTTATTCAAATATTAGAACAATCTTGAAGAAAAAACTTTTAGTGTAATCCTTACGGGATTAAAATGTGAAACACAATGGATTTGATTCACTTGTTAAGCAGAGTCCTAGGGGCATAGATCATTATGACACTCGGAAACTTTATCAATACTGTCCATCTGTCATAGTCTGTGGAAGGATCCAACTTTCTGGCTATATATTTAAGCATTCAATACCAATCGTGTTTCACAAAATAGCTATTAAGATGAGAAATTTATTGAAAACTGCGAGAAAAGTCAACAAGAAAACTGAGCAACAATCGAACTTATCATGTGTAAGTGCTCTTTGCCCTACTCATTGATCAATAGCACTTTTTATATGAAAACTGCGGCGCTAAATGCACTAGGACTTGTTGATTTTCATTATTATCAATTGACTCACTTATCATTCCAAACCACGTCTTGACAAAAGTCCTAAGATGATGCAACTCGTCCTATTGAGATAGATCGACTTGTCCTAATGGTACAAGAAGCGGCTCTGTGATCTATCGAGAACTGACTACAGATACAACGATCATAGTTTTTCCACCTACCTAATCACTTGTTTCCAGTCGCTGACGATCAGTAACGATAATCAATAGAGAATCTATTGAGATCTCTTCAAGTATATATACCGAAAATGCTAAACGATGGAACTTTCCCTTCCATACAAAGATCTAATTTTATCCTGATACAAGGAATTTTCTCTGCGACGACATTATATGACGACACAA